ATGACACAGATGGTAGCAAAGCCAGAACTTGAACCCAGGTCTTATGACTCCAAATCCAGCACTCTTTACTATGCTACTTTTCAAATTTCGTTTTAATAACATGTTGAGGACAAGTCATTAAGTTCTCCCTGAACTTCACTTTCCTTTTCTTTAGAATAGGAATAGTAATAGCATCTACATCACAGAATTGTTGTGACACTCAGGTGAAATAGTCCAAGTAAAGGCCTTGCATGCCTTACAAACCCCCATATTAATTTTAGCTTCACCATCATCTTTACTACTATTAGAAGCAGACAGAGGTTTGATGGAAGAAAGTTTATTTTTTAGATTTAATTTATATACCTATAGTCCTGTGGTACTTGTTTGTTTGTTTTCAAAGTAAGGCAATTTTCCCAACAATTAGAACTGTCCTAGTATGCGGTGGGATGGCTTAGTACATAGTGAGATATCTTCAAGTGTAGGTTAGATAAGTACTTGTAACTAATGTTTTTTAAGTTAGTGATTTTGAGGGCATAGGTTAGAATAGACAACTTTTGAATTTCCTTGTCATTAATATTCTCTCGTTCAGAGACACCTTCCTTTTTCATTGCCTCTGTTAGAGGATTATCAGTGATGATAAAGTTAATACCAGTCACTTTTATAGTTTCTATAAAACCCTTTTGTTTCACAGAAAGGAAAGGAAAAAATTTTTTTAAATACCTAATTATCCCAGTGTTTTCCAAGCTAATTTAGCCACAGAACATTTTTGAGAAAGTAGCATAGTGCCAGAATCTGTAAATACTGATGGGGAGAAAGGAAGCATTGGTTTTCTAGAAGGAGTGTGGGACCGAGCAGCTGTGTGGCTGTCATCATGTCTCTTAATCTCTCTGAATTTTAGTTTCATTATGTCAGCTGTGAAGAGCAACACTTGTACTACTTGGATTTATTCATCCAGCTTTAACTTCTCATAACCTCCAGCGCTGGATCTTAAATTGTCTAGTGGACATTTTGAAGTAGATACCTTGTATGATATCTTAAGCTTGTCATGGCTAAAACTGAACTCATTATCTTTCATCCCAAGCCCTCCCTTCTTCCTATCTTCCACTATTACTTTGAAGAGTACCACCATCTTTCCAGTCACCCAGTCTTTCAACTTGGGTTTCATCCACAACTTCTCACTCTTACATGCCATATCTAGTCAATTGCCAAGTCCTGTTGATTCTACCTTCATCATATCACTTGTATATTTCCCCCTTTCTCCTCTGACAATGGCACTGCCATGATGCAGGCCTCTATTGCCTCACACCTGGTGTTGCAGTAGTTTGGCTAGATTCCCTGCTTCATCTCTCCCCGCTCCAGTCATCTTCTACCCTCTGTCAAATTGATGTGTAAGTCTGACCATGTCACCATCCTATTAAATAACCTTTACTTGCTCTCTGTTGCCTCCAGCATCAAATGTAAAGTTTTTTCTTTAACGCCCTCTGTAACCTGGCTCCTTCGACTTTTTCAGTTTTCTTACATCCCCCAAAAAGATACACCATCTACTGATTCTGAGCCTTTTCATTGGCTTTTCCTCATGATTAGAACTTTCTTGTTCATCTTTACCTTCTTGATTTTCTAGCTTTCTTCAAGTTTCAGTTAGAGTCTCCCCTTCTACAAGAAACCTTTCCCAGTTTAAGACTATTCCCAGTTTAGCTTGTTTGTACATAAATCGTTGGCATCTTGTTTCTCCCTTTAGACTGTGAGCTCCTTGAGAGCAGGGAATGTCTTTTGTCTTTCTCTGTATCCCAAGTGCTTATCACAGTTCCTGGCACATAATAGGCACTTAATAAATACTAGCTGCTAACTGGGTACTGACTGTTTACTATCCAGTTTTGAGGGAAATGCCACTTTGGAAACAGCATAAAAACCAGTTTGCCTAAAACACAGTCATGAAGGAGAGTAACAAAGGAACGTGCTCATCTCCATTGGTAGAGGAAGACCTGGTCTGTGAACACTGCTGAGATCGAGGACCCTGCCCACAGTCTAGTGGTGTCCTCCTTCCTTCACCCCATGTGTGAGTATATATTTACTTACACACACACCCACCCACCCACATCCACACCCACCCACACCCACACCCACTCCCACTCTTAAAACCCACACTAGGAGCTAGTTAAAATGCATTTGAGGGGTAACTTGTTGTCAGAGTTTGCCTAATTATTTTAAATCTCTACAACCAGCATGTTAAATTTTTATATCATTTCTAAGTTCTTGCTCTTGGAGTCTCTGGACCCAAGTTTGAATTCTGGCTTTGCTCCTTATTACCTGTGTGACCTTGTTTAAATCACCTTGTTGGGCCTCATTTTGTCATCTGCAAAATGAAGGGGTTGACCTAGATGGTTTCTAAGATCTTTTCCAGCTGTACATGTATGATCCTATGATTCCCAAGTAAGAAAATTGTGAGTATGTTACTATGAGAAGCTAATAGTCTATTCAGAATATCCCCATCAGATTTTTCATAAGAATCTTGCCCCTTTTTTCATATTAGCATCGTGAGCCACACTGATTTCTCTATATAGAAAACATTCAACTTGCCTAACAAAATACATATATTTATACAGAGCCTTGAACTAATTTGAAAGTGGCTTTTCTGTCCCAAAAATCGGAGCAAATGAGAAATATTTAATTGAAATTTCCATCCTCATTTTTCCTGTGCTTCCTGTATTTGCTACATAAGCCTCTTCTAAGAAATAGGAATTTGCAGACTTAAAAATAGTGTCCCCTATATAACTTGATTTAAATATGGCTTACCATTCTGATAACCTTTACAGGAAAGCTGTAAACACAAGACTGTATAGCATCCCAGCACTGAAAAGGAGCTTAGTCTTTATCTAGGCTCCTCTCACTTTCCATAACAGGGCAGTGATGTGAGTCATCTTTTTCTTGTCCATTTTTATATTTGTCTTCTAAATGTCTTTTTTTTTTTTTTTTAAATATAATAACAGTGTTCTTGTTTCATCTTTATCCCAGTCTCTAAAACCTTCCTGATGTACTAATCCTTTCCCAAGCAATCTATTTAGTTCATCACTGTTTGCCAGGAATAATTGGCTAAAATGAAAATTTATAATCTCCATATTATATGAGATAAAACAGGATTGTAGTGGGAATGGGATGTGCATTTCAGGCCATTGCTAGTCATCTTGACTTTTGTCCTGCCACTGGAATTCAATGACTCAGGAAGAGAGATTGAGGCTGACAACTTTGTGCAGCTCTGGATCACTTAAATCCAATTCACCCATGAGTCAGGACATCACTCATGATGTCATTAGCTCTCTTCAAAAATGAAGGACAAACAACAAAAATAATAATTGGAAATAGGATCAACGTGGTATTTTCCAAACTTTTTTGGCTTTTCTTGAAATAGGAATCTTGAGTTGGGTAAGAGAATGTCTAGATAAAAGAACAAAACTCAACCTTGTTAGATTTGTTTTTATTTGTTTAGAAACTAGGGTATGGACCAAGTTACCTTGAGGTTATGGAGGAGGAGAGGCCATTCTATTTGAGAAGGAAATCCTTTTATAATTTAGCCAGTGTTCTGGAGTGTCGCTTTGCATATATAGGAGAAAGATGCTAATTCATATATGATTGCTTTGGGAAAGTATGACTGGGAGACGAGAGAGAAGCAAGAGGAGGTGGAGGTGGCTGATGGATCCATTGTTAATTTTCTCGCCAAATTTTTTCCTTTTTGTCAGTCAGTCTTGGGCAAGTAAGTAGGTGGGCAATATGAAGTGATGGAAGAGGTAGGAAAGTGAGGTTAGGCAGGTCCCACAGTGTAGTGAAAAGCCATTCTCTCTTCTACAGAGCTAATGTAAACTGGAAATGATGGCATTAAAGTTGACTTCTAAGGAGAGAAGCTACTAAAGAAAAAGCCCTTTCCCTTCTCTCCTTTCCCCTCTCAGTTCCTTCAGTTCCTTCCCTAACACACTCTTCCTTTATTGAGGAACCTCTGGACTCTTCAACATTGTACTTTTTTCTCCATAGCTGACCCCTTCATCACTCATCACATACCTTCTGTTCACCAGAATCCCTAGTTCTAGGTGCTTTCTCTTGGCCTTCTTCCTCTTCTCTCCTCCATTCTTTTCCCCGGGTCAGTACTCCCCCAGGGCAGGTCCACATACCTTTGTCAGCAGGCCAGGCTTCTTCCTCCTGGTCCTCTTTTCTTCTCCCCTGTGCCCTCTTCCCTCCCCTTCCATCTCATTTGGTAGATATATAACTTTATATTTAGTACTTTAGAGGGGAAAATAGAGTTAACATTGACATGTTCTCATGGAGATCCTGTTTATACCATAGACATCACAAGGTTTCTCAGGGGCAGAGGTTGAGAAGCTTTGGTTTTGATTTTGAACCAAAGCTAGATTAGTGGCAGTATTTTTTTCAGTCTATATACTGTGGCCAAAACCTGGATATGGTTCACCCGGTTCATTTCTTTGACAATGAGAAAATGATAATGGGATTTTTCATATTTAATTTAGTATTCTTACCAGGCATCCTTAGAACAGGAGTTACCTTCCTATCTCCTTTGCATGAATTGGTTGAGCTTTGGTAGCAAGAAATGGCTCTACATGAATCTAAGTTCATTAGTGCATGTCTTCAATATTCCATTTCTTTTTACTACTTTTTAATGTCAGAGTTGGACTAGCTTTGTAAGGAAGAAGCTAGCATAAAGTTGTTTACAAAGAAAATTTGTTTTCCTTTTAAGTTTTTGCTACCAAATTATACATATAACATTAATACCAGGCCATCTCCTTTCTTCCTATAAATTGAATTTCCATATTTAACTCTTCTTGGTGACTTTCTTCATCAACATTAATAGTTTCCCTAATCATCAGCATAATCCCTGATGTCCACCTTTCCAGCAATATAAAAGAGTCTCATCTTTTTCCTGTGCCCTCAAGTTCAGTGTCATATGCACTCTGAGTATTCAGTTAAGAGCTACTAATTGATGGTGTAATTTATGACTATTCATATTTTTGTCTCAGGTATTCAAGAACAAAGCAGTGCAGTTGGCAGGGAAACTCCTTCCTGCCTTTAACACACCTACTGGGATTCCCTGGGCAATGGTGAATCTGAAAAGGTAAAATATGTTTTCTTCAGTTATTCTTTGCCTGAAGAATTAAATAAACCATTATCTTCCTTTTCTAAATATAGGAAATCCTATGAATCTACTTTTTCATTTTCTTTTTTAAACTCAGGCTTCTATTTTTTCCTCTTCGTATGAACAGATGTTTATTTCTTATATTGTATCTTTAAAAGGATTTTCTTTACCTCTACCTTGCTCCTTTTTCCAGTTATCTTCTTCCTTTTATTCTGTGTCAGTTCAAATTTTTAACTAAATCCCAAGTTACCCTCCTGTGTTGTCTAATTTGTACAACTCTCTTATTCACCTGGCTGATTCTGCATGATCACAAAATGTGGCTGCTTCCCTCATTATTCCCTTATGCATTTCCAGTTCTGGTGATTCTTTTAGTCCATTTTATGGACCTAAAGGAATTTCCCCCTTCTGTCCGATGCTTCCTGCCTTTCCTCTTCCAAATCAGAATGAAAGTGACATTCTGAGAGCAGTGCTTCCTTTAGCTACTTAATTTATTAATGAAAAGGGAAGCTTCAGGCCGTGGTGTAGAACTACAGTGCTTTCTTATAACAAGTGAAGTTGAAGGTTCACCCTTTTTAAAAATCTCATTATTTTACATCTTTTTTTTTTTCCCCTAGAGCATAACCTTTGTTTCATCTTCACTATAAATCATAGATTTAGCTAAAAGATCTTAAAGGTCATCTAGATTTTATAGATTAAATGACTTCATACAATGTCATATAGGTAAAGTATTTTGTTGTTGTTATTTCATTTGTGTCTTCTGACTCTTTGTTGATCTCATTTGGGGTTTTCTTGGCAAAGATATTGGAGTGGTTTGTCATTTCCTTCTCCAGCTCGTTTTACAGATTAAGAATTTATAGATTAAGATTATAGATCAGGAAACTGAGACAAACAGGGTTAAAGTGACTGGCCCATAATCTCACAGCTAGTAAGTGTATTGAGGCCAGATTTGAACTTTTGAAGATGAGTCTTCTTGATTCCAAGCCCAGTACTCTATCCACTTTGCCTGCCTAGCTAGCTGCCCTTTGAATTCAAGAAAAAACATGATTTAAAAGAGATTTTGTCAGTCATCTTTTAAATTGTATTTAAATGATTTGTTTTATGCTATGAAATATGTGTGATTGGTCCTTTAAAATCTTTCTTTTTATTTATTTTTATGTTTAGACTTAAAAACTTTATAAAACAACCAGTTGTTTAAAAAAAAAAAAGAAGTACACATACAAAGAAAACCTCACCCTAGAATATTCATTTTTCTAGGAACATTATTCCATGTGACTTATAATTTTACCATTTTAAAGTCAAAGCTGTTCTTTAGCAAAATCTCAAACTGGAATATACATCTGAACATTTGGAAGCCAGAATTCTTTGCTGTGCATTGAATCTGATTTACTGTCTTTTGATTATGCTCACTATATAGTGTAGATTACTTCCATATCAAAAAAAAAAAAAAACAAAACAGGACTGTGTACTGTGTAGTAGCTGCATTTAAAGACGTAAGTGTGCACGACAGTGTAGACACACCTGTTTTGTTTTAACTTGGTCCCATGATAAAGTTTTGGGTGTTTTATTCAGCAGCAGGATCATTAAAGATGACTTTACAAATAAGATTTCAAACGAGCTTTGATATAGAAAGAGACCCTGAAGGATAGATCTCTTTGTTTGCAAAGCCATAAAGTCTGCATGGAGGATCTACTTTGAAGGCCTCAGAGCATAGGAGCATAGGAATCACAAAGATGTGCTTTCAGATCCTGCTTTGATATCAGTGGTCATCTGCAAGTCACTTAAACTTTCTGTGCTTTAATAGCACAAAAAAAGTTTTCTCACCTGTCAGATGAAGATAATAGTAGCTATTGTATTTAACTCACAGAGTTAATGTGCAGCTCAAATGAGATCATGTCTACCACTTTTCAACTTTAAAGTTGTACACAAATCTATCATTTGTTCTCGTATTGGTACCATTATGGAAATACAGCAAAGTTGTTGGAAGAAAAATTTATTAAACCCTGAAATTTATTATTAGAAAAGTCCTACCTAGTATCTCTACTTTCGCAGATCTTTAATAATATGATAAAAAATCTTTGGATTGTTGGCATAGCACTTTTCATGGGGAGTAGGACCTAAATTAGTTGACTTTTGGAGGCTAGCTTAGAATTCCATGATTATTATTGCAGTATAAATTGGTCTAGCGCAGTACAGTATGAAAGGTAGATATTTATTAGTGTTGGAGATGGAGGAGAAGGGTAGAGGTGATGGTATTGAAAATAGTTGACAATTAATTTTGAGGAAAATGCAGAATTTATATGCTATTTGGTGAATGTATTTTTGTAGTTGATATTGGTTACTTGTCTAATATGACTTGTTTATTTTTCTGGATTTTGTAAAGTTTTGGTGTTTCTTTTTTCTGATAGCATGATTGTAATTCCTGCCCTTAAGATTTACTTGTGGGGGCAGCTAGGTGGTGCAGTGGATAGAGCACCGTCCCTGAAGTCAGGAGGACCTGAATTCAAATCCAGCCTCAGACCAAACACTTGACACTTACTAGCAGTGTGACCCTGGGCAAGTCACTTAACCTCAATTGCCTAAAAACAAAACAAAACAAAAAAAGATTTACTTGTTGCCTCCTGATTTTTTTTAGCTTTTCATTTTCATCTGAATATGTCTAATTTTTAGATTTTTTTTTGTGTTAATAGCATATTGTTGGGTTTTGCTTTCTTATCTGTTCTGTCATTTTATTGAACTAATTATGTCATAGTTAAAATTAAAGACTTTTTGTTTTCCTGCATTTATTTCTTTCATATTACCTTGCTGTATTCCCTTTCTCTTTTGTCTCTGGGATTAGTTTTACTTATACAGCATTGTTCATTCCACAGACTTTCCACTTCTCTCCCACACCCATTTTTCTGCCTTATCCCAAGTTCTTTGAATTTACTTATGTTGTTCAGTTCTCTTTATTTTGTGAATTTTATCTATTCTACCCATGTTTTATCACTTCTTGATCTCCATCTAGTTAAGTAAGGAGCTTCCTTCAACTCCTCCCACACTTTTTAAAAAATAAACTTTCTCTTATTGTAGTTTTCCTTTACTTTGTCATCCTCATTATTTTTCTTCTTTTCCAGTCCATTCTGAATTTTATTTTCTTATGTATAATTTATATCCTTCCATGTTCCTCCTTTGTCATTTCTGTATCCCTCCTGAGTGTAGGAGCGGTGCTTTTGACTTAACCGGTTTAAACTCTTGTTTTCTATTGGGTTTTGACGTATGTGTTTTTGTGAGTTTTACCTCATCCTCTCCTACTTTACCTCACTTTCACAAATATTAATTCATGAGAGAAGTAATATTAGAAAGTTGTAGTACCTTGTCTTAGAAATTGCCCTGTGTTCCAGATCTATGGCTCAGTCCTATTTTCTGTCCTTGATCAGCCTCCATTTTAATGATAACATAATCCTGTCTTTAGCTCTGTGTCCCTGTTACTATTTTGAAAACCATTTTCTAAAATCTTTTATTGTTTCTCTTTGGAGAGGTTTTTCTATTATAGATTCATTTCCTTCTACCCTGATAATAGTAGTTTTATATTCTGCATTGAGAGCTTGTATTTCTAACCTTAATTAATTTCTAATTTATTTTAGCACTATTCTCTTTTGAACCATTTAAAAATTTCTTGCTGTTGTTCCATGATCCCCAAGGAGTAACTAGAATTTTTTCTTTTGCACTGATTCATTTTCCTAATATTATATTTGTTTAGCATTTTTTGGCTTCTCTTTGAGGTTTCACTTTATTCTTTTTTTTTTTAAAAAGATATCAAACAACCAACATTTATTAATTGGACTGTGTTTAGCTGAATACAAAAAAGGCAAAAACCCAGAAACAGTACCTGCTTTCAAGGAGCTTACAAAAAAAAATGGGAACGATAACATGAAAATAAGAGTTACAGGTAGGTGAAAAGTCTTAGGGAGGAAGACTCAAGTAACTGGGGGTGGACCAAGAAGACCTCCTACAGAAAGTGGTATTTCACTTGAGACATAAAAGAAGCCAGAAATGTCATGAGGTGAAAAGGGAGAGGGAGAAGATTCCAGGCATGGGGGAGAGCCAGTAAGAGTTAGAGGAACAGCAGATGGAATGTCATATGCGAGGAGTGTGAAGTAGGTTAGTGTGTCTGTATCCTAATTGTGTGGAGGGTAGTCTGGCATGAGAAGATTGGAAAGATAGGACGAGTCCGGTTATAAACAGCTTTAAATCCCAAACAGGACTTCCTATTTATTTGATGCTGGAGGTGAGAGGGTCCAGTGGAGTTTATTGAGCAGGAGGTGACATGATTTGACCTACACTTTAGGGAAATCACTTGTATCTGTGTGGAGGATGGATTGGAATGGATCTGTGGGGTGAGTGAGAATGAGGAGTCGAGAACACCAAGGTTGTTAACTTGGGAAGGATAATGGTTCCTTTAAAGTAGCATAGGTGTTTGGAAGAAGAAAGTGGTGTCAAAGACAGTGAGTTCTGTTGTAAACATGTTGAGTCTGAAATTCCTATGGCGTATCCATTTTGAGATGTCCAAAAGGCAGTTAGTTAATGATGTGAGACTGGAATTTAGGAGAGAGATTGGGGTAGGATTTAATTATAGATCTGCACAGAAATAATAACTGAAAAATGAGCTTGTGTAGAAGGGGAGAGAAGAAGGCCCAGGACAGCACCTGGAGGGACACCTCCTGGGGGTGTGATGAGGCTGATGAGCCATCAAAGGAAGCAATCATCAGACAGGTAGGAGGAGAATCAAGAGAGAGCAATGTCAGGAAACTCTAGACAAGAAAGATTATCCAGTAAGAGAAGGTGGTCAACAGTGTCAAATGCTGCAGAGAGGTCAAGGGTGAGAGTTTATCTATTTTGTGTATTTAATTTTTATTCATGTTTGCTCTCTTTTTTATTTCATCTTTTTTCTTATATTCCCTGTGACTCTTTTTGCCCTTCATCCCAGACCATACTTCTGT